CCCTAATGAACACCAAGTTTGCAATGAGATTGCACTTCAATCTGACTGTTGAAGTACTTATGAAAATAGTCTAATTTGATTGAACGGAAATCGGAGATTACAATAATATTGTTTTTAAGACTACAATATCTATTAGATTTCTAGGAAAAATATTTGATAGATGTAACATTTGTATGATTCATGAATGCGGTGAAGACTAAAAAACTATGCTCGGATTGCTTTTATCGCGGGACAAAGGCTTGGGTTTGTATGAAGTGTAGTCACAGCTAAAACTCTATTATACTGCTACTTTTAAATATTTGTTAGAAAGATACTTAGAACATTTTTAATTGATGATAATCTATTTATACATATTATATTCATCTGCCACTGCCTCGTTGCCCGAGTGGTCGCAAGTGCGACTGCCGGACAAGGGTTCTCGGGTTCGATTCCCGGGTTGAGCAAAGTATTACTGGGTTTTTAAAAAGATCTCAGTAGTAGCACGTAGTCTGGAATTGTGCCCGGTATATAGCAATAGGCTCACCCCCTATTACATGGGAATCATAACATAAATAGGGAAAAATGGGTGTTTTATTGTACAGTGGCATATTGTGCACCTCTGCCTACCCCTTCGGGGATAAAAGGCGTGATGTTAGTATTATGTCGTCTGCCACCTACGTTTATTTGCATATATTTAGTTGCATGGGTATAAGATCAATAGTTGCAACCAGATGTGGACCAAGCAGTGTTGCAAATAAACAGGTTGTTGGATCAGAGGAAGCAATAAATAATGTTAGCGATTATCGGTCGAGGCCTAACCGCCTAACGAGCCCGGCAACCTACCGACCTGTCTCAATCGACTCGAGTTTCAATCGATTACTACGAGATCACACTTGAATCGATACGGAAATTCAATCGAATCGAATGAAACTCGCATGTTAAGTATTTAGTTGTGTATAATGTATAATGTCTTACAAAAACTAAACTAAACTTCTAATTGAGATGATTATTATTTTTTACTGATGATGATGATGTAGCCATCAGAATGGATTCAGCAGTAAAAAAAAAGTTAAAAAGCATCAGCTTGTAAACTATTCTACTCTTTGGTTTTTCTTTTACGGAGGAAAAATGAGTATTGTTTAACAAGCTTGTATGGAAACTTTAGACTTATATTAATCACTAGCTGAATCCGCAACTTCGTCTGCGTTTTCTTAAAATAAAAGTAGCCTATGTTACCTTTTGGTACATTAACTACCTGCCAATAAAAGTCCCATCAAAATCGGTTCAGCCATTTCAGAGATTGTTTGTATTTTTGTACTGGCTAGTACAAAAATACAAACAGAAATAGTAAAAGTGTTATTTTGATATATGTATCGTATGTAGGTATATTCATATGCATGTAGTACAAACAACATGGGGTTCTTCAAGAGGGGAGTGAATAGGTTTCTTAAGGGTCGGCAAGACGCATGTAATGCCCCAAGTGTTGCAGGCGTACATAGGCCACGGTAACCGCTTACCATCAGGTGGGCCGTGTGCTTTGCTTTTGCCATCGTCGTGGTATAAAAAAAGCAGTTATTTCAATATTACAAACAGAAACTCCTATTTTATTTATTTGTAAAGATTGCAATAAACAAATATTTAATTTTTTGAATACCACAATAAAATTATAGTTCACTTCATCTTTTCGTATCGAGTTCATAGTAGGGGATTTTCAACGAAATCTAGGCGGAGAAGATAAAGGAAGCTATTATAGGTTTTACAGTGGCACATCGTATACTATGTTTCGAAACGGAGTCAGCGCTGTTTTCCCACGAGTTTGCGCAATACCCCGCTGGCAGTGCGTGAACTTACGCCTAACTATACATGACATCTTCGTAACAATCATGTTCTTAGGAAAGGTGATATGGTAATTAGGTCTTTGTGTTATTAGTTCTTACGGTTCTTTGTTCTTTGAAGCTTTTGTTAGGTTAAGGACAGAATGAGATACACTGGAGAACTTTGATTTAAATACATTACTACCAATTTGTGTTTTGGAAAACGAGCTTTCCATTGCGTCTTTGGCGATGGGTGTCTGATGTATTTGGTTCCTAACACAAATAAATTCAAGGTTTACGCTCGTTTTTACTAACCTTTCTTAATTTTTAAGAAGCCTCTAATCTAGGATAGGCAACAGTTAATGACATTTTGATTTTAATCAATACGTAAATTATACGTGACATCTAACAATACAAGGTAGGGGTTAGGTGCTACGTCACGATAAGTAACTCTTAGGTAGGAGATGGTTTAGGGGTGCTTGATAAAAACAGCCATTAGTGTTTTATTTAATTTTTGACTATAGTAGTAAAACGTTTGTGTTTTCTCCTATCTCAAATATAATAATGGTGCTATGTTGTTAAACGTACCTCAAACATTGAGTCATCATGGAAAAATATCCCTTCTTGAAATTATTTAGCGAGAAGAAATGTAAATAATATTACCACTATGTTACAATGGTACATTATGTATATTAGGAAAGTGAATATTGCTGTGGAACAAGCAGTTTCGCTAGAAAGTTGTATTGTACGTTGATTTTCTTTGTGATATACAGTTGTAATATTTATGTCTGTAATTGTAGATAGTAAGGTAATGTTTGCTTTCGTTTCTTAGCCCTACTTATAATATGCCCAATAGGTGTCGGCATACGGAGCTACGAAAGATTTAACGGATTGCCGGAGCTCTGGATCGAAATGCAGGAGCAGGAACATAATTTATTTACAGAAATTAAACAAAAGAACAGGAAAAAAAGTAGTTTGAAACAGAATAATGTACACGGCGCAATTAAATAGGGCCAGTGCTCAGCTAAAATGCCCTGACAGCAGCTCCCTCCTGCCTCACCCGGGCGGGACAAGTCATTGGATGATTTTCTCCCCTCAAAAATAAGGTCACTCTGAAGTACACATAAAAATATAATGAAGTGTAATGTTAATCAATTAAAAGCCTTAAGTTTGTTTAAAAAACAAAACAAGGTTGTAGTTTCTCAATGCAACCATAACAAAAGAATCTCATAGACATGGCATTTATATAATCGTAATATATCTTTGTATTGTGCCCTTGAATTGACCATAAAACGTATCAATCACCCACGAAATAAATCGATAGAATAGCTATCATTTTAATCGATACTCGTTTCGATTGATCGAATAATCGAATAAAATGTTATAGTTATTTAGCCTTGTGGTTTAGGAGTGAATGACTCGTTCATAATGATCCATGATCGAGATAATGATAGCAGTTTTTGCGGGAGATTTCGTAACAAAAGCTGAAATTATTTAACAATGTAAGAATAAGGTCTTTGCTCGCATTATTTAAAGGTTTTTGTGTTGACAAAAAGTTGAGATTTAGCGATGGTTTTATCGCATCTTTTTGTTTGTCGTTTGTTTAGTAAGTAGTTGTTTGAAGTTGTTCGAGCGTTGATTGGGTAGGTTAGGTATAAGGAACAATAGATTACACACTTGATTTAGGAGGACGTTACATAAAAAATGTTCTGATCGTTTCACTGTTTGAGGAACTGATAAATTGTTTTTTTAATTTAATGACACTGAGTGTCACTCAATTATGAGTTAGTTCGCGCGGGACGTGTCACGAGATTGTAGTGTTTTTACGCCACGGTGTGATGTACTAGCCCCGAAAAAAGAAAATATAATATAACATAACATCACGCCTTTTATCACCGAAGGGGTAGGCAGAGGTGCACATTATACCACTGTACAAAGTTACACCCAATTTTTACTATTTATGTTATGTATGAGTCCCATGTAATAGGGGGTGAGCCTATTGCCATATATCGGGCACAATTCCAGGCTCCGTGCTAATACTGTCAATTTTTTAAAAACCCAGTAAAACTTTGCCCTTCCTGGGAATCGAACCTGAGACCCCTTGCCCGGCAGTCGCGCTTGCGACCACTCGGCCAACGAGGCAGTCAAATAAAAAAAGAAAAAGGAAATACGTTGTATAAAAAAAAATAATGTGTGGTCTATTTTCGTAAATAGATAATAGCATTATTTCCTAATAAACCTACGGTTCCAATACCCAAGTGCAATATACAAAGGTCGATGTAGGAAAATTGTGGCATTCTAAACAGCGGTATAGGTTGTGAGTATTATGACCTTTGCCTCTTGTACCTATAACCTCGTGATTTATTTACTGTACCTAATGTTATTGGCTGAAGTATTGATAGGTATGTTTTAGTCCTTTTTTTGTTGAAGGGGGGAAACCTTCAAAATACGCCTAGCTTTTTGGGCAAAAAAGACTAGGGAGTGAGTAATTTTTACCTCACTAAAACCTCCGCGCCACCATCCGTAACTAAAGGAGGCACCGGGTTCTCTTAGTAGACCAACCCCGGAGCCCCCACGGTGCAACGCGTGTTACGGCACCTCCCTACCTAGAGCCTCTCTGTGTGCCGCCGTCATTCTTGAGTTCATTATGTAGGCGCCTAGATTCCCCACTCTATGCACCCAAGGTATGTTTTAGTCCTAGGGTTGTGTAGTAACAGACGTTGCTCTGTGGGGGCTCCGGAGCCATAAGAGGACCCGATGCCCCTTACAGGTGACGGTGACCAGCGCTTAGTGAGGTAAATATCCTACACTAGTCTTTCTCCCCGAAAAGCTAGTCGCCTTCTGAAGGTTTCCTCCCGTCATCGAATAAAGAAAGCGTATATGTATAGGGTAAAAGGGTTAGTATTTTGTGAATTTATGTGCATATTATAAGTATTCCATTGGTAGGATTGGTCATATTTTTAATATTTCTGTGGTCATAAGCAAGATTGAGGAGCCCTAGGTTAGATCCCAAGTCTAGCCGAGTACCAACTTATTTATTAGGTACTAGATACTAGCTCTATCAGTTTATCAACATTGAGAAATTAGCGATTGCATATATATTTTACTTAATTTCTATTTACTAATGGAACTTGAATCGGATGCTGACCGATATTCACATATCAGGTTTTAAATGCTAAATATTTATAAGTATGTTTTTGTCGCCAGGTACATAGTAAGGGTCTGAAGTTTGGAATCTATGAGGACTACGGCAACTTCACATGCGCGGGATACCCTGGTGTGGTCGGCCATCTTGCTGGAGGTAAATATTTCTTAATTTAAATTAATTATTATTTATGACTAAACTTACTATTCTCGCACCTTTTATAATAATTACAAACTGTATACCTGCTTATATTAATGACTGCGGTTCTGCAAAGACATAGGAATAAAATCAAGTCATAATTATAATTATTATTACTATCTCCCTTCCCTTCATGCTAGTTAATCACGCTAAAGTACCTACCCAGGGCCTTTACCCAAATACCACTTTAGCGCTTGTCTACAGAGAGAGTAGAAAACTAAATGTATGGGGATGACACTGACAATTGTCAAAATTTACGTCAATTCCATATAATTTAGTTTTCTATTCTACATGTAGACAAGCGCTAAATGGCATTTGGCTACAGCTGCTGATTTGAATACTATTTCGTCCAATGGACTACAGAAAACACTCATCTATACATATAAAAATGAAAGCCGTTTCCCGTTTTCACGCCATAACTTGAGAATGGCTGGACCTATTGGGCTGATTTATTTTTTGTTGTGTTTATTATAGTCAGGAGAAGGTTTGTATGATTGAAAAAAAAATCTTATGGGAACGGGAGAAAACGGGATTGCGCGTACAAAGCGTCGGGCAGAAGGTTATATTAAAATATTCACAAAATTGAAGGCAACACCGTATGGTAATATGTCATTTTATATGCAACATATTTTACCTGATGAACATTTCACGTCATACAAATGTAAAACACTTGTAATCGAGCTACTTAAAAATACATATACGATATGTTACACAATGGACCTATGTCTCAATATAACCTACATATCGATTTTACTATTCGATATCAACACGAATATTAAGTATTAATACCTATATACATGCATAGGATGTTTGAAAAAGTATTGAAGTGTCTATCATAAGGTTTGCGCAACGCGTGTGTCCTATTGCAACAGGTCTCGTGACTTCCTCGCTAAGCATGTTGGGGCATTAGTAGGATCACCATGTTTTTTTTTATTTATTTTTTTAATACTTTGCCCCGCACTAGGATTTTCTCCTGTATCGTGGTTGCGTTTACAAACATACAATTTCACATATACATCACACCCAGATTAGGAACAACAATTTGTGGATCACACAAAGAGTTCTTCCGTGCGGGAGTCGAACCCGCGACACGTTGCGCGGCAGCCAGTTGCCCAGCCACCGCACCAACCGTATTTTTATTTATGTATTTGGGATCCTGCGAAAATTCCTTTAACCTCTTGAACGTTATAGTCGGCTATAGCTGACAAACAAAATATGGAGTTATCCGTCACAGTCGACCAAAGCCGACAAGAGAACATAATTTTTTAAGCACTATTGGTTTGTCCGACCGCGGCGGTCAATAGGTTAAATGTTAAATCTAAGCGACATAATCGCCAAATATCCTAAAATTGAGTCTTATATTAATGATTAGTGAAAATGCTTATAATGCTGGCTGGCACCAGCATTATATGTGCGCGCTTGTTCACATTCACATTGTGTGGCATGGAAAAAATAAAATCAAAAATGTCTGTGTCTTTCTGAAATTACAGTATGCGACCATATCCTGTAAAAAAGTATAATGATTTGAATAGTATGTTATTTGATATTGCATTCTATTCATTACTTTATTCGATATAGTTCAAAAAAGGGTTTCTACGAAACAATATTCGTCGATAAGCATTCAACTTATGAGACTCATTAAGAAGTAATGTAATCAATGAACAACATCCTTTAAGAGTTGGTTAATTGCAATTACTTTTTACTTTTTAAACGTAATTTAATTACATCACACCTGAATGTAAAAGAAAGTGTAAATACGTAAGATAATTGTTTCTTTATTCGTGCAAATATTGTAAAGTCATCGTGGACTTATGAACAATAGCTTTAGAGTCAGTACTCACTTTGACTGGCGGCTTTAAGTTTATATAACTAATGCCATACTGAAAATATAATAATAAAGTAACAGGGTGAACTCATCTAACTTCGTGACAAAGGCATTTGAGTAATAAAATACCAATAAATTATTAATTAATTTAATTCAGTCTCCGCATGAGTTTTAATCAGTCTTTTATGAGGAATATTAGCACAAATAATCAGATTTTTTTCTAGAAACCTGAGTTCTACCAAATTTACTAAACCGAATTATTAGGCGAGTCACAGAATTAGATGAGTTCACTATAGGTACAATTTTAATTCTCATGGACAGCAGAGTAATAACTGTAGGTATCCGGTCGAATGGTTGTAAAAGCTACAACCGAACATGTAATCTGGACTTTTTGACGTCCAGTCGGCAGTAGCTCATGTAGCAATGTAGGATTGAATGTTGAATATACACATTACTCCACGCCTGTCTTCCATGGGGGTAGGCAAAGACTATGAAACACCAATTGCTACGATTCTTAGCATCAGTCTTTGTCATCAGTCTTTTCATGTTGAAAGTAATACATACTTTATACCAATTTTGTTACGAGTCCCGTGTGATGAGATGATGATGTAAGCATAACAATTGAGTAGTTTCCAGGGTATCAAAAATAAAATTCTATTTAGTCCGTCAGTTAGATAATGAAAAAATATTAAACACGTAATTTTTTATTTTCTCGTATTAAGTTGATATTAAGTTGAACTTAGATAAAATGGCGCTAAGTTTAGGAGTGGGAGGTCGTTACGTCATAACGTGCTACAAAATGTGGCGTTCACGCTGTGACGTCACACGATATTAAAAATTAATATATATTATCGTCGAAAGTATTTAATTTTTTGAGAAAAGAAAAAATACGTGTCTAAGTTTTTAAATTAACTCGTTGAGTACCATCATTATAGACACAATTAGTAAAGAACAATAGGTTGCGGTCACCGGTGACCGCTTGGTGTTTGACAGTTTAATGTACCAGACGGACATTAAAATAAAAGTTAGGAAACTACCCTATAATACCAATTCGTGAATAAGATACAGGACCCTTGTAAACGTGCTTGAGTCCAGTCAACTACCGTGGTGGAGTATTTGTTAAGTATCCTATTTTTCTCCTATAACTTGGTTTACCTAATAAGCACAGGCGCACGTGATTTCCTTGGCCAGTGCATGTAGTTAAGTATATAACTTGTACGCCACTGCTGAGCCCGCTTTGCGTGCATGTTTCGCGTGCTTACTGCTTGGAAGTAATTAGTACAGGAACTCAGATAATTATCTATTTATGATTACGTGTTAAATTATATAGTGTGATTAGATTGAGATTTATATTTTTGCATGCACGATGTAATTCTATTTTTAGTCCTTGCTTAAACTTTCCCTGTCTGAACGGGACTGGACTAGGATTCGATTATCGTTTTGAGCAAAATTAATTCATACCCTAAACTCATCTCCTGTTGCACGAGCCTCACAACAAGTAGAAAGATATTAACATGCGATGTGTTCCTGTTCTGCCTACCCCTTCAGGGCATAAAAGGCGTGATAATATGTCTTACATATTCGTAGAGAGTAGTGCAACTAACTTTTTATAATGAATGATGAATGAAACGTCAAACTAAAAAGAGTTCGCATGATTGAAATGGCGCACGCATGCGCATCGCGTGAACAAATCCAAAATGACGCGTACATTACGTTATTTCGTTGTCAATCGTATTTCTAACTCGTAACTGGTTGTACATAATTGGAATTATAAACGCATACAATAACATGCGTGTGGGCCATTTGTTGGTGCTATGTAATGCCATCTGTTAGTTGATTCTATAACTAACGGCTGTGTGATTCAACAAAATGGCGAAGAGATGGCGTTAATAATTGTCGTGTGGCAATTGCTTTTGTTATTTTTCTGTTTGATTTGTTGGTGTGGTGTTGGGATTAAAAAATGTCTAAGGGAAGTCTTTCTTTTGATCAGAACATAACGCCAGTTTCTTCAGTCCCCAAACGGATAAGCAGAGCAGTGCCTAACAACCACTTTACAATATTCAAGTTATTACTTCAAATATAACAGGCCTATTGCCAAATCGACAAACAGGATATAATATTACAATTTATCCTTGAAACTGTAATAGTTGCAAAATAACGAATGCAATAGTTAACAGTTTGTAAAATTATGAATCCGATTGCGAATTTTATGAATGTGAATGTTGACAATCCGGTTCGGAATACCAATTTACTAATAACAACAATAAATTGACAACAACACGATTTTGATCGTCGAGTTTTTAAAAATCTTTCGTTTTCTTTTTGGTGAAAGACCTCTTTTACGGCTGTTCTGTCTTTTCTGTCTTTCTAAAAGTTATATAATGGGACAATCATCATCTTTGCATAAGTTTTGATTTTAAGTTTTTTAATTATCACTCCGTATCTTTGATGTGATTTTACCTCCTTTAACTTTAAACAAAAACCCAAGACCGATGCGGAAACCATAATATTTAAATATCTTTTCTCTTGTAAAGTCGATTTAAAAGTTAATAAAAGCAAGATAAATAATACTTTCGAAATTAGTGATATATGTATCACTGTATTTATTTATTTAACACTTTTTGTACAAATATATACAATGGCGGACTTAATGCCGAATGGCATATTCTACCAGCCAACCATAACTATAGTTCTGTCTATATTTTTAGAAAACATGTTTGCGCCCCACACTAAAATAATTCCTAAAAAAAGTACAACTGAGTACATTCATTAAGCAATAAATCCTACTACCGACGGTCCGACGCTTTAAAACAAAATTTATAAAAAAAGAAAACTACTCGATGCAAGGAACGTTATTTTTGTACGTACAAAAGAAATGAAACGCATGTGTGAAACAACACAGAAATAAATAAAATGTTATTCATTACATTCCTTCTCAAAATGAGTCAAGTTAAGTTTTGAATGACTTTTTAACGGACTAGTAAACTTATGTGTAAAATCTGTATGTGTCACCTGTTTCAGCGTGTGAAATTAAGTTTTTTTTTCTTTCTTTATTACTTCCCAAACAGGAGGATTTTTTATGTGTGTATGTTAATGTTACCCGATTTGTTGTGTATCTCCGGAGTTTGTGAACGGATTTTGATAATTCTTTTTTTTTTTTGTTGGAAAAGTCATACTCTCGGGGTGGTCGCATTTCCTGGTCATGAGATCTCATTATATAAGAATATGAATACTTTTATATAACTTCTAAAAATATAAAGTAACCTACCTACGTGTTGTTTCAGACTATCACTACTCCTTGTTCTAAATTTTATCCCAAACCCTTCAGCTGTTTTTTTCAACAGGCATACACACAAGACACAAACTCACAGTTTCACATTTATAATATTAAGTAAGATGAAGGTAGTGAGATGTCTACAGATAAAAAGTCATTCGGAACCTCACTTAATTTATTTGAGAGTAAGTGGACACGAAAATATGTAGGTACTTACGTAGGTACACTCGTACACCTCTAATAAAAACGAAGAATTTGTACACAGATCTATAGATGTTATCAGGGCAATAGAGTTAAATAATATACAAATACTTACTTAATATTTCGTTGCTCACACAATTGTTGAACTGCACTGATGCTACACTTTTTTGTTTACCAAGAAATAGTATAATAATATATCTGTCTATTCACATAAAACTATGCTATATATAACTTGTCCTTTAACTTTGTTAATATTTGGTGCAAGTAAAACATATCACTAATAATGTTTTTACTCGAAATAGAATACAACGGGTTGTATACTAGAATGCATACTACTATAAATAGTACTATACAACCCGACTACCCGTATCCGATTGGCTTGCTTTATAAAATAAACTAGCAATTTATACCACTTTTATTTTATTATTTTTTTTATTTTGTACCGCCGACATCGTGAATGTGTATGAAGTTTTAATTTATATTTTTGCTAAATTATCTAATAGGTATGTGTGTGATATTAAAAATATACCATTTAAATAAAAATCAATGGATGTTCGTTAGACAGACTGAATTCAAATAACTACCACACTGATTTGTTTTGATGAATGAAATGAAGTAGTCAAGACTACGTATCATACGTATGTGAGCACAACCGCAGCTCAGCATATAATACTGTTTAATTCTTACATTACATAGGGTATTTTGAATTTTTATTGTTAATATTGGAATTGAACTATTACCACTAATAAAAAACATGATGGTTCATCAATCTCTTACTTATTCCTTACCTTAACCCGTCGAGCGTCCGCGTTCCTTATGATCCAACGGGTGCACACGTGACATTTAGAGAAAGAAAGAAAGAAAATGCATTTATTTGGCCATTGGCACACGAAAACAAGGATCATTGCAATAGAAATAAACAAATACAGTCAAAATAAAAACGAAACATTAATAATAGATTTTATAAAAGAGAAAGCAGCATGGAGCATTTTTTCTTATGATCCACCGGGTGCTCATAAGGACGCTCGGGTGGTTAAACATTCCCTACCTTAAAAGATCCCAGCCTAGTTCATTAATTAATGACCAAAATATTATTTCAGATGCGGCCACCTTCGCTGCCTGGGGTGTCGACTACGTGAAGTTGGATGGTTGCTATGCACTGCCTGCTGACATGGACTACGGTTACCCAGAATTCGGAAAAGAGCTCAACTTAACTGGTCGCCAGATGGTCTACTCCTGCAGTTGGCCAGTCTATCAGATCTATGCTGGTATTCAGGTGAGGTTCTTTTTTTATTAAGTGCTATAATACAATAAAGTTTACAAGACGTCTGATGGCTAACGGTCTTTGTAGCCTTACTTACACCCGCAACACCAGAGACAGCACTGATTCGTTGCCGACTATCCTACTAATATTATAAATGCGAAAGTTTGTGAGGATATATGTGTGTGAAACGGCTGAAGAGATCGTGATGAATTTTGGAACAGGGGTAAATTATATTATGGTATGGAATAACACATAGGCTACTTTTTATTCTACGGGAGCGCGGGCGAAACCGCTGGCAGAAGCTAGTAATACATAATAATGTTATGTACTATGATGTTACTGTGGACGGTTTATTTCATGTACATACATACACAACACAGACAACCACAAAAAAATTAATATATATTACAGAGGTACATAGGTTTTTTATATCTATGAGACATTCTTTATGTGGGTAACATTAATTTAATTTAGTAATTGCAATAATAATAATCCTTTCGACGTTTCGGCTACGGCGACCGTTTGATTACTACAGTGGCGTCTGTTGCAATAGGTAATAATGACGAAACATCTCCATACCGATTATTTTTCTTATCTGGAATTATTGAACAGGGTCCACAAAATGAATAAATGAATTAATGAATTCTTGTAGTACATTTTAAACCTTGATGTTTTGTAATTTAAGTTAAAAATCTATCATTGACATTCAAATGGCTATGCAACTGATTTATGTCGTTTCCCAGCCTGAGCTTTTAAAAATAACTTTGTAGTAATGCTAGCATCATTTAAGCTCATATTCCAAACTAAACAAAAAATGTTTCAACTGTTATATTCTCTTTCGACAACTGTTTTAAAATTGCATCTCAATAACCATGAACATAAACATCTCCAAAAATGGTCGGCCAGAACTTTTGTTCATAACATGCTTATTGTGATGTAAATAGCTCATAATAGCATGTGTTTACATACATAGGGCTGTCAAAGTAAATAGAGAAGCGTTCTGCACAAAGACAATATTGCCTTTTTAAATAGGTAGGCGTTCGTAGTTGCTACATTATTTGTTATAGGCGTTTCGCAACTCCTGTTTTGTTAGTCAAGTGGTCAAAAGTACGACGGCTCAGCCAAAGGTATTACTGGGTTTTTAAAAAGTCTCAATAGTAGCATGGAGTCTGAAATTGTGCCCGGTATATGGCAATAGGCTCACCCTTACATGGGACTTATAACATAAATAGTGAAAAATGGGTGTTACTTGCATTGCACAATGGTATTAAATGCGTATTGTTATGTTATGTTGACTTCAATTGTATTAATAATTTTAATTTATTTGACATACTGTATTCAGTTTAACAATATTACAATTAATTAAACTTAATGTACATTATATCATTTTTTATAACATATCTTTGCATGCCAAGTGAAGACAAAATATGGAGAAACTGAATATTTTGTTAATACCTAAATTATGTACCCATGTTTGCAAACGATTAAATGAATTTGAATTTGAATGTTAAACGTTCCTAGTAGCAGCACCAAGCATAGAAGAATGGTGCCCGGTACATATATACTTAGCAAAAACTAACTCAAAGTGGGTGTTCAGTATTCCTCTGTATGTGGGTACATAGAGGTACAATGCCTTTCCACCCTTTTCCTTCTTCTTCCTTAATACGAATTTATTAATAAAAAGTACATTTAAAATTATTTCCAGCCCAATTTCTCCTCGATCATCGAACACTGCAACCTGTGGCGTAACTTTGATGACATACAAGACTCGTGGGCGTCCGTCGAGTCTATCATAGACTACTACGGAAACCATCAGGACGTGATCGTGCCCAACGCTGGACCTGGACATTGGAACGACCCTGACATGGTGAGCAATCAATTTATTTAACTTGCATTGTATATATCTATGTATGTATGTATGTGTGTGTGTGAGGGTGTGTGTATGTGTGTGTGTGAGGGTGTGTGTATGTGTGTGTGTATGTGTATGTGTATGTGTGTGTGTGTATGTGTGTGTATGTATGTGTGTGTGTGTACGTATGTGTGTGAAGTGGAATCTTGCAACAAAATTTTGAAGCAGACATCGTCAAGCGATTGAGATGAAATTCTGTAGACTCTTAGTTTCTATGACCATAAATTTAGTATTTCATGGTCATCGAACAAAACTCAAATTAGGAAATCATGAATTTACCGCCGAAAGTAAAATACAAATATTTTTTGTTTTATTTTAATATTGAAGAAAACATTCTAAATGTAAATCTAGATAACGTAAATCAATATGAAAGTCACTGTTTTCGTGAAAACACTGGACCTTAGCAATATGGGGGTGCTAAGAATCCCCGGCAGATGAACCGCTACCACCCCCGACGAACTTTGGCCCTGGCAACACATAACATCCGCACCCTGCGGACCGATGAGAAGATTGTCGAGCTGGAGGAAGAATTGAGCAAAATGCGGTGGGACATCTTGGGACTGTCTGAAATCCGAAGAGAGGGCCAGGATACGATGGTCCTGGATTCCGGCAACTTGCTCTTCTTCCGGGAAGGAGATCAAAAATCCCAGGGTGGTGTCGGATTTCTCGTCCGCAAGTCCCTCGTCAACAACGTGAGTAAAGTTGACAGTGTGTCGAGCAGGGTAGCGTACCTTATACTCAGAATATCACACCGGTATTCGCTGAAGGTCATACAGGTATATGCGCCGACCTCGACACACTGCGATGATGAAGTAGAGGCTCTGTATGAGGAAATTTCCCAAGCCATACACACCTCCGAAGCACACTTCACCGTTGTCATGGGGGATTTCAACGCGAAGGTGGGCACACGGAACGGCGAAGAGCTGAGAATGGGGCCATTTGGATATGGGCAGCGAAACCGTCGGGGCCAGCGGCTGGTCGACTTTATGGAGAGGGAGAGACTCTTTTTAATGAACTCCTTCTTCCGAAAGCGACCAGCTAAGAGGTGGACGTGGATAAGTCCCGATGGTTACACCAAAAATGAGATCGACTTCATCATGGCGACCGACAAGCGCATATTCAGTGATGTCTCTGTGATAGCTAAGGTGAAAACCGGCAGCGATCACCGTATTGTCAGAGGCACACTGAATATCAATGTCAAGCTGGAGAGGTCACGCCTGGTGAGGTCCACACTCCGTCCTGGTCGCGCCCAGGTCCAGAACCCCGAACAGTTCCAGCTCCAACTGCATAATCGCTTCCAGTGCCTGGCTGAGTGTGAAACGATTGACGAGTTAAATAATGGGTTAGTGGAAACTGTCCAAACGGTGGGCTCAGAGTTTTTCAAAAACCCACGCCGAAATAGACCTCAAAAGCTCTCGAAAGAAACACTTAAATTATTGAAAGACCGACACGAGATGAGGCTGCAGTCTTCAGTTGACATGTCTGGATATGGCAAACTTAATAGGCGAATTTCAAAGTCTATGCGACGCGACCTGCGTGCATATAACGCCGCACGAGTCAGGGATGCCATAGAGCGAAATCAGGGCGCAAAAGTATTCGCAAGGAATTCGTCTGTTGGGCAAAGCCAAATGACGAAACTGAAGACCGAAAATGGCAGCATCGTTTCGTCGAAGCCAGAGATTCTGAGAGAGCTTGAAAGGTTCTACGGACAGTTATACACCTCGACACGGCAACCCATTGTCGGTACAGCTCGGGATCCTAGAGCTAAACTGACACGGCACTACACCGAGGATATCCCAGACATCAGCCTGTATGAGATTAGGATGGCTCTCAGACAGCTCAAAAATAACAAGGCACCGGGTGATGACGGAATCACAACAGAACTTCTGCGAGCGGGTGGAAAACCGATACTTTTAGTCCTCCAGAAACTATTCAATTCCGTCATTCTCGAAGGAACTACGCCGAAAGCATGGCAAAGGAGTGTAGTGGTTTGTTCTTCAAGAAGGGTGACAACTCTTTGTTGAAGAACTATAGACCCATCTCGCTTCTGAGCCATGTATATAAGCTGTTTTCTAGGGTTATCACGAACCGTCTGGAACGCAGGTTTGATGACTTCCAGCCTCCCGAACAAGCCGGGTTCCGGAAAGGCTTTAGCACCATAGACCACATTCATACGCTGCGGCAAGTTATACAGAAGACTGAGGAGTATAACTTGCCACTATGCTTGGCGTTTGTGGACTATGAAAAAGCCTTTGATTCGATCGAGACCTGGGCGGTGCTGCAGTCTCTCCAGCGATGCCATATCGACTACAGATATATCGAGGTGCTAAAGTGTTTGTATAGAAACGCCACCATGCGCATCCGACTCCAGGAAGATAGCACGGAACCAATCCAATTGCAGAAAGGCGTGAGACAGGGAGACGTGATTTCTCCGAAACTGTTCACCAACGCATTGGAGGACGTTTTCAAGCTTTTAAACTGGAGTGGACTGGGCATCAATATCAATGGCGAATACATCACACACCTCCGCTTCGCCGATGATGTAGTCATCATGGCGGAGTCGCTGGAGGATTTAAACACCATGCTCAGCGACCTCGATATCGTCTCCCAACAGGTGGGTCTTAAAATGAACATGGACAAGACCAAAATCATGTCAAACGTCCATGTTGCACCTGTACCGGTCATCGTTGGGAACGATATCCTCGAAGTTGTAGACCACTACACATACTTAGGGCAGATTATACAGCTAGGTAGGTCCAATTTCGACAAAGAGGTCGCCCGAAGAATCCAACTTGGATGGGCAGCGTTCGGGAAGTTACGCGAAATCTTCTCATCGAAAATCCCTCAGTGCCTAAAGACCAGGATGTTCAACCAGTGTGTGTTGCCGGTGATGACGTATGGTACCGAGACGTGGTCCCTGACCTCTGGCCTTCTGGAGAAGCTCAAAGTCGCTCAGCGTGCGATGGAGAGAGCTATGCTCGGGGTTTCTTTGCGCGACAAAGTCCGAAATATGGAGATTCGCCAAAGAACAAGAGTTACCGACATAGCTCGCAAAATCTGCAAACTGAAGTGGCAATGGGCAGGCCACGTCGCTCGAAGGACTGACGGCAGATGGGCCAGGAAAGTCCTTGAGTGGAGACCACGGACCGGAAGACGAAGCGTGGGCAGACCTCCCGCTAGGTGGACCGACGACATCGCCAGAGTTGCGGGGAGCCAGTGGATGCGGGTGGCGAGTTGTCGTTCGACGTGGAGGGCTAAGGGGGAGGCCTTTGTCCAGCAGTGGACGTCTTCCGGCTGTTGATGATAGCAATATGTAAATTACATACACGTGTATGTGTTGTGTCTCTATCTAATCTTTAATTATTTTCTTTCCAGCTGATTATTGGCAACTTCGGTCTATCATACGAGCAGAGCAAGACACAGTTCGCGATCTGGGCTATTTTAGCAGCTCCATTATTGATGAGTGTCGATCTAAGGACTATACGACCTGAGTACAAGGCGATCCTACAGAACAGGAAGATCATCGAAGTCGACCAAGATCCTCTTGGCATTCAAGGCAGAAGGATATACAAGGTAAATAAGATCTTATTGTTTATTAACTTAAAGTTTTTTTTATGGGGGGAAAAATCATCGAATGACTGCTCCCGCTTGAGTGAAGCGGGAGAAAGTGTCAGACTCTTACTGACTAAAAACCACCCCGTTCCGTCTCCTGCACGTCGAGCCGGAGTCCCGGTTACCCGTTAGGTTCTCCGCGACTAACTTAAAGTTTAGGGGTATTTTAAACTACATTGTACATGGTGTCCTTTTTACTAGATTGCGCGACGCAGTGAAGGTAAATTTTTAAAGATTCTTTCACAGTTTACTGTCCTAAACGCTGATCATCTTACTGTACCAAGTATACTTTTTAATAAATGTTATAAGGCCCGAGTTATAGAACGATGATCAAGTCGAGATCTTTTCTCATTTACAGTGAAAAACGGATGCACCGCTTGAGTAGCGTTCTTTAATATACCTAAGCGCTTTCAACCAAAATCTAAAATTAACTTCAAAAATTCTTATTTCACAGCACCGGGGAATTGAAATTTGGTCGCGTCCGATCCTACCGATCCAGAGCCAGTACTACTCATACGCAGTGGCGTTTGTCAACCGGCGCACGGACGGCACTCCGTCAGACGTTGCGGTCACGCTGCGGGAGCTCGGTCTGAACAACCCTGCTGGATACAGGGTTGAGGTATGTACTCATCTATAACAGCAGCTGTAGCCAAATGCCATTTAACGCTTGTCTACTTGTAGAGTAGAAAACGAAACTTGTAAACCACCCTGTACACACTATAGATGCATTAAAAAAAACATATGGGATTGACGTAAATTTTGAACTTGTCAGTGTCATCCCTATACATTTAGTTTTCTGTTCCTTCGGTAGACAAGCGCTAAAATGGTGTTTGGCTAAAGGCACTGTTCAGATCAAGAGCTAAGCAAGTTAGTTTAGTTCGCATAGCCGATGTAGTTTTCTATACTTGTCGTATAGTTTGTGGTCTGCACACATGTATGAAAAACTGTATCGGCTGTGCGAACTAAGCTAAAGGTACATCGGTTAGCTCTCTGTCTGCAACCGACTATAAATTTTCTGATATCTTTACTTCTTTACTAATTGTATAAATTGGAAAGTGAGTTTGTTTGTTTGTTTGTTCCGCTTTCACGCCGTAACTACTACACCGATTGCTTTGATTTTTTGCAGACGTAAAGTTAGACTGGATAAGTTAGTCTGGATTAAATAATAGGGTACTTTTTATCCCGGAAATATTGATATTTCCGAGGGAAAACAAAAGTATTGGTATAGATGGCGCTGTGTGTATTAGTATATGTCACATAGGCTATTATCCTTTCGTGACGCGAGCGAAGCTGCGGGTAAAAGCTACTTTCAAATAAATTAATATCATCTGAAGAACATTTCTCTGGAGAAGAAGATAACAAGGCAAAGATGGTTTGAGAATTTGCTTGTGAATGGCCTTAATTATATCTTAGTCAATGTTAAGGAATTAAATGCTGATCTGATTACTCCAATAAATACTGGAACAGATACAGCTGCTAATAAAAGCACTTTAGTTGCAAGTACCTTTATTACAGCCAATAGAATTCAGACAGATCTAGTTTAGCAGTCCCTTGAAGATAAGTGCTCGGTTATCAACTAGAATGAACTCGTCAACATTAATTGAATTCGCATCTGTTGGCACGGTGGATGCCGAGCAACATGTAACGGGTTAAATTCCCGCACGGACCATCTCTTTGTGTAATTCACAAACTGGGTTTGAGTATCATGTGTGTGTGAACTTGTATGTTTGTAAACGCTTCCACGACCCAAGAGAACATCTTAGTATGGGGCAAGGTATTAATAAAAAAAATGTAAATGAAATGAGTATAAATAGGTAATTATATCTTCCTCACATCTTTTGATGAATGTTGCTTGATACATCGTCATCATTTTACCGTCGAGGTCATCGCACGGATGGTCCAGTATATCGTTGGTGACGTCTACCATCTAAAAACATTATTTAGCATTTTTATAACTATATAATAACTAGCTTCTGCCCGCGACTTCGTACGCGCAATCCCATTTTCCCCCCGTTCTCGTTCGTGATTTTCGGTAAAAAGTAAAAAAAAGTATTGTATAAAAGTATCCTATGTCCGTCTCCTACTTCTAAGCTACCTCCCTGCCAATTTTCATCTAAATCGATTGAGGCATTCTTGAGTTATAAATAGTGTAACTAACACGACTTTCTTTTATATATATAGATGTGTATTGTACTTTATCCAGCATTGGATCACGTTTTCTTGTATATTAACACCATATTTCTTTGAACAGGATTTGTATGAAGACGTCGACTACGGCGTCTTGTCGCCGCAGACCAAGATCAAAGTGAAAGTGAACCCCTCAGGTAGAAAGTGTCTCACTTGTTTGCTTTGCAAGGGCTCGGTATCACGCTGTTGCTTTCCGCAGTCATCGGTAAGGTCGTGATGTCCGACTGAATATTGCTAAGCCTATAAGTTTGTAGAAAATTATGGATGCCGTTTTTTATTGCCATATGGTGCTGATGTAGCGTTAGATGTGTTTATCCAATACAGAATTAGCTAAAATCAAATTTTAGACATTAAAGTTTTAACAGCTACAGTAAATGGACGAACAGAGGCCTTAGTACCAGCTTGTTTTACGTTTAAAGTAATCGTAACGAGTACGCGTTCGGCGCTCTGAGGCCTTAGTACGAGTTTGTTTTACGTTTAAAGTAATCGTAACGAGTACGCGTTCGGCGCTGTGATTGGTTGCTTCATTGGTGCCGGCCAATCAGAATGCCGAACGCGTACTCGTTTCGAATACTTTAAACGTAAATCAAACTCATACTAACGCCTCTGATTGGTTGGTTCATTGATGCCAGCCAATCACAGTGCCGAACGCGTACTCGTTTCGATGGTAATAAGGCCTCAGATCTTATTTTAAATCAGTGCCATCTAGTGAGCAAGTAAGGAACTCTCATTAAGCAGAATATTGCTCACCATAGGCCATAGAAATGTTTCAGTCGGACAGCAGACGGGGAGATAGAAGTAAAATGTCAAAAACTTCGATAGAGAAGAATTTGAAATTTTATGGAAACCATTGTATGTATTACCACCAACATTTGTATATAAAATATGTAAATCGATACTTTAAAAGACCAGCACATGAATAGTAGTCACATTGTATAATAATATTTCATTCATTAAAGTGTGGTGTTCATTGTATGTTTGCACTTTATAATTATTTTCGCAATTACTTGAATTTACATCATTAAATACATCACCCAGTCCAACATCTTCCATATTTTCTTTTATACTATAATTTCAAAGCTGGTGTTACCGTATGATTTGTACAAACTTTTTGCCAAGTATCCTTATTTATAGCCGGTCATGTTATTAGCCCCATTGTTATAAGAGTGAGCATAACACCGTGCTCCTATACTAGAACGCCGCGGAGGATATTACGGGTTGCCGGAACTCGAAGTGCAGGAGTAGGAACGGGGTGGTTTTTAGTCAGTAAGAGTTTGAAACTCTCTCTCGCCTCACCCGGGTGGGAGAAGTCATTGCCCCAGTCGATGATTTTGCCCCCTTTAAAAAAACTATACTAGACAGTTCTTGAAATCATATTCTAGACTAGACTAAGAGTTTTTATTACTCGTCAGTCACATTAGGACTATTAATAAGTTCATTGTGGCACTTATGCCCGAATACAGAAAGGCTACTCAATTTTCTTAAGTCGCGCTTAAGTATAGTTCTATCTACAATTGTTTGTAAAATGACAGAGATGGCGCGATATTCAAGTACAACTTAAAATTCCTTAGCAGTAGCCTTTCAGTGTTGACTCTTGTAAATCTGACTTGAGTTTCCTTGATTTCAAAAATAATTGTAAGTTACTGGCTGCTTCGTTGACCGAGTGATCGCCAATGCGACTACCCGCCAAGGAGTCTCGGGTTAGATTCCCAGGTTGGGCAAAGTATTACTGGGTTTTTTTTTAATAAAATTGACAGTAGTAGCACGGAGTCTGGAATTGCGCCCAGTATATGGCAATAGGCTCACCTCCTATTACATGGGACTGATAACATGAATAGTGAAAAGTGGGTGTTACATTGTACAGTGGCATTAAGTGCCGTAATGTGCGTCTGGTTATGTGTATGTTACAATTACGTTTAGATTAGAGGCATTTAGAGGAAGGAAGTGTTTTACAATTCGTTTCTGGATTATTATTTATTATTTTCGCATGTTCACATATCTGTAGTCATTACTTAATCGGTGATCGGTATCTTTAACAACACTAATTGCTTCACGTTGACTCATAGTGTCTTCACTTGTTCATTATTATCTTACATTGTATCTTGTCATTTAAACCATTATCTTTTTGTGTTTCACATTGTATGACAGTCGTAGATTATTTTTAACAATAATGTAGTTTAGATCGGTATATGAATCATACATGTTATATTTTTTTCTTCATCCTTAACAACTGTATCTTTTTTTATGGCATCCATACCAACTTGGCTATTCTGTAAAATATCAATTCAAACTCTCGAAGTGAGCTCGATTGTAATCTAGCTCGTCGTGGGTCAAGATTATTCTCATAATCAATGATATGGCGGACCGTGATGGAGCTTACTTCAATCTTCCGAATTAAAAGTTACAGAATTGCCTTGCTGGTTCTTACCTTCAATTTTAATTCTTTCCTTTTTAAATTCATCTTTATTATTTTCCATTGACCATTAAGATAACAATTTTCATCTACTATTAATCCTTTTAATGATTGAATAACATTTTCTTTAAATAAAATTTCCTTGTCCAGGTGTCGTAATTCTCCGGGCAGATGCGCAGCCATCGTTCGCATTCAACTCGATACCGACGCGGACACCGTACACGCCACTGAACGACGTCTTCAGACTGAGCCAGAAGTAGCGCCATTTATTAACAGCGCGACCGAACTTGAAGTCAGACTCGATACGATCTACAAGTACAATAAATAAATGATTCTGCCTATCCTCTGTAACTGTATATCGTTTACTCGCTACGAATTTTGGATATATTTCCATATCCTCGCTTCACTTGTTTAGTTAGGTTAGAAGTAGATTGTATTCTGATATTGTGTGACTGTGAACTGCTACTGACATTGATTCGTATTTGTTTTAGAACCAAGTGATTCGTTAGTCTCTTGGCTGTTTACGCATAGAGCCTCCAAATTGTAAAGTGAAGCGAGTGCATTAGAAATTGTAGCGTGTAAACAATTGTATGTGTCCATTAACTTGGTGTGAAAGATAGTTACCAGCCGGTATGTCTCTGTCTTGCCTTAGGTTACATTTTATTTATGTTTCGTTCTCGTTTGTGTGATCATTGAGATGTTATTGTGTAACAAAAACACGTGGAGAATTGATTATTTGCCATTACGTTGTACCTAGGATAAGGATGTACATTTTAGGTGCCTGTAAATGTAAGTTTTTCGTAGTGAACGTCAATAAATAATTATACTTTTTATTTTTATTGTTTCATTAATATTTCCTCATTGTACAGTCTTTTTACTCACTTATAATAAACTAGCTTTTACCCGTGGCTTCACTCGCGTCACAAAAGGATAAAAGGTAGCCTATGTGACATATACCAACATACACTGCGCCATCTATACTAATACTTTTTTTTCCCTCGGGAACATCAATGTTTTCCGGGATAAAAAGTACCCTATTATTTAACCCGGACTTCTAACTTCTGCAAAAATTCAAAGCAATCGGTTAAGTAGTTACGGCGTGAAAGCGGAACAAACAAACAAACAAACTCACTTTCCGATTTATAATATTAGTAAGGATAATATGAATCTATCTGTACATATAAAAATAAAACCCTTTTCCCGTTGTCACGCCATAACTTGAGAACGGCTAGACCGATTTAGCTGATTTTTTGTTGTGTATTATGGTCAGGAGAAGGTTCTTATGACTTATGAGAAAAAGTCCTGAAAATCCTACGGGAATGGGAGTAAACGAGATTGCACGTACGAAATCGCGGGCAGAAGCTAGTCCTTTATAATTACGTAATACATGCACGAATACTGAAACGCTACTCGATTTTAAGTCGCGCTTAAGTATAGTTCTGTCTCTACAAATTCTTTGTAAAATGACTGAGATGGCACGATACTTAAGTACAATTTACAATTGAGTAGCCTTTCAGTATTCGGTCGACAGTACACACGGCTACACATCGAGCTTTACATAACCAGTATAAACTGAACGTTAAATGTGCGGAAAGATGATGCGACGCGACACCAGGATAAACTGTGCCATTAGCCAAACGCCACTTTAGCGCTTGTCTACAGAGAGAGTAGAAAATTAAATGTATGGGGATGACACTGACAAATGTAAAAATTTATGTCAATTCCATATAATTTGGTTTTCTATTCTACATGTAGATAAGCGCTAACAGCTGCTGGCTTTGTATAGATTGATATGTGGCCGTGTGTATCACATCATGCATGTCAAAATAATAGTGAAAAATCACAATACACAATATCAAATAAATTATTATGTTTTCGGCTTACGCCCGTAATAATTTGACGAGGAACTCGACTAGTTTCAAGCCAATGCTGCTCATGAATATGAGCCTCTAGCATGGCTTGAAACTAGTCGAGTTCCTCGTCGAATTATTACGTGAGTAAGCCGAAAACATAATAATTTTTTTAGTATGTCTCACGAAAGTTACAATACAAATACACAATATCATTTAATGCTTTAAAGCCTTACTTATACATATAATTCACGAATTAATATTATTGTAAGCCAAGTGGTTGTTCAGTCTTCTATCCCTCCCGGTGTACTTGAACACAGCCACAGTAGGTGCCAGATTTTCCTCTTCAATTACATTGCTGCCTCTGGAAAACAGAAAAATATAGAACCTAAGAACACAACATAACATCACGCCTACCCTTTCGGGGATACACACAGAAGTAACACCCACTTTTCACTATTTATGTTATGAGTCCCATGTAATTGGGGGTGAGCCTATTGCCAAATACCGGGCACATTTCCAGACTCCGTGCTACTACTGCGATTTTTTTAAAACCCAGTAATACTTTACCCGACCCGGGAATCGAACTCGAGACCCCTTGCCCGGTAGTCGCACTTGGGACCACTCGGCCAACGAGGCAGTCAGCAATCGAGGCAGAACCTAGGATTATGTTATAAAAAGACGATAAAACTATAGGCGAGGGATCATGAGAATACTAACATGACTATTAACGTAGCGTACTGTGGGAAAATGGAATACAAAACTAGAAAATTTCTGATTCAAAGAAATCATACCTATATAAAATTATTTTAATAACTTACTCAAATGATAACATCACAAGCAAAAGTAACTTGGGAAACGGTAACGAACGCTTGAACGTGACTTTTCATAATTAAAATTATCGTAGTTAAAAGTATTGAGACATGTAATAACTATAGACATAGAAGTTAATTGCAACACAATGTAGGTACTTTTATATTAATTATTATTATTTATCACTCAACGTTTAGACCCTGACTAAAATATAATATTTTAAGTAGACTTCTATTAGAAGTAATTTACCTACTTTAATGTTTATGTACATATGTCTATGCAATTTGGACCTAGCATTAAGATATTCTTAAACGTACCTTTTCTTTCTATAGATTACTGGGTCCATGTAAATCTCTGTAGTAACAAAATCCTCTGTTTCCTCATTGCTAGCATTTTCCTCTTCAATTGCTGTATCAGTTACGTTATCGGCTTCATTTTCATTTGAATTTTTGTTTATTTGTTCTACATCTAGTAAGACTTCACCATTTTTGTTGTCATCGTTGACTTTTTGGTCTTTATTTGGTGGTAATAAAATATCTGCCAACTGAACAGTATTTTCTTTGTCACTTATACCTGTATTTTGGATACTTTCTTCGTTACTAACATTATTCTTTCCTATTATATCATCTACTTTGTTTTCTCTGTCACTTTTACGTTTTTCTTCTACACCTTTCTTCAAAACTTCACCATTTTTGTTTTCTGCACTAGGGTCAAGTTCAATTTTTGATGGATATATAATATCTGCTAACTGAACAGTATTATCTTTATTGCTATTATCTATTTTTTGAATAATTTCATCATTGCCAACATTGTCCTTTTCATTTGGATCATCTGCTGCGCTTTTATTTGTTTCTTCTACGGTTGGTAAAACTACATCAATTTTCGTATTTTCTCCATGTCCAGTTTTTGGTGGCAATATAATGTCTGTCAACTGAATTTCTTTATCACTATTGTCTATTAGGGTTTCCAAACCAATCATATCATTTAGTTCTACTTGCTCTTTACTGGCATATTTTTGGAATTCACTTCCTTCGTTGCTCAAATTGTCCTTTCCATCAGCTGCCTCGTTTTGACTTGAACACTCTTCAACACTTTTATTTTCTACCAAAGCTTCAAGTTCAGTGTGTGGTGGTAATATTACATCTTCCAACTGACCAATTATATCGTTGTCACTATTGTCTATTGGGGCTTCAGATTCAGATTTATCACTAAGTTCACCTTGTTCTTCACTGGCACTATTCTGGAATTCAGGTTCTTCTGGTTCATCTTCTACAATTTCGATACTAACTTCTTTGAATACATCCACATCTACAATAGGAGTTTGTACTATATCGACTTCACCAATTAAATTTCCTTCTTCTGGTAACACGACACCACTTTTGTTTTCTGCCATAACTTCAAGTTCAGTTCTTGGTGGTAATATTATATCTTTCAACTGAACAATTATTTCTTTGTCACTATCGTCTATTGGAGCTTCAGATTTAGTAATATCACTGCGTTTATTTTGTTCTTTACTGACATCATTTTGGAATTCAGGTTCTCTTGGTTCATCTTCTACAATTTCGATACTGACTTCTTTAATTACATCCAATTTTACAGTTGGAGTTTGTGCTGTATCAACTTTATCAAGAATATTGTCATGTTTTGATCTTATTATTTCACTTTCTGCGATAATTTCCTCAAACTTTTTCATGAACGGTTTTTGTTTTTCCAAGTATGGCTTTGGAATATTGACCATTGGTTTCAGTGAAATCGTGTATCTCATAGGGTCCTTTGGAAACAATGGTAGTTTTCGCCTTTCCTGGGGTAGTAAGGGCTGGTACTTATAATTTTGTGAGTTGTGTACTTGTATGTAATTCAACCTCAGTTTTGGGGATTTGGCATACAATTTTGCGTGGGCTATTGAAACGAATACCACACAAAGTAGAAGCTGTAACAAATGCAAAAATTATTAATAATACTGAATAAAAAATGGTGCTGTTGGACAATCTGCTGTATCGGATCAGAAATCTTAATAGCACTTATCTCCTGACCCTGTAATCAAACGTTGACCAGTCACTTATGCTTACAACTTCAAGATTTACGCGACAGCTGATAATGACTATAACATAAACAACAATGAAATTTTCGATATAAAATACGCGAATAATGTAAAACTTACCGGCAACAATTGCATTTTGATAACACAAAATAAACACACAGTTGTATCACACTATTTCCTCCTAGGACCCACAAAGTACTGAATGGCATGTCCTATAATTAAACTTTAAATAGGCTGGGAGAAAGCTATCATCATATTACCAATGTACAATTATTATTGCTTTATGCACTTTATTGACCATTATACTATTTTAATAATAATAGCCAAATGATCCTGTTTTAATTTAATCGTTGCTTAAGGTATTAATGCCTAATTACCTCTATAGTAAGTAACATTCTGTTCCAACTTGTTAGCTAGAGTTAATCTAACTTTTAAACCGACTACAAAAACAAAAGAAAGGACATTCTTAATTTAACTTGTATGTGTATGGGTGCAATTATTTCGTGATTGGCTAAATCGATATTGATACGGTTTAGAGAAGATTGTTTGTTACGCTTAAGAGAAGATTTTAATGTATTCGTTAACCGACTTCATACAAGAGGGGGTTTATTCGATTTTTTAAACTTAGTTTATAAAAGAAGTCTGTTTTTACCTCATCTTCGAGAAAAACAAATGTAGTAATTTTGTCTGTTTAGTAACTAAGATTTTATAGACATGTTCACATTAATTTCAGAGTCCGAATTACAAAACATATTTTTCAAGCAATAGACTTGTCAGTCTATTCAACTTACATCTGTTGGTCTTCTTTAATAACTTCCGGGTCACGGTAATTGGTTAAGTACTATCCATAGTCAAAAATAAATTATTTCGACTGTTCAACACATGTTTAATGATTATTTTTTTAAATTTTCAATATAAAAATAATCACACTTTCATTAATGGATTTTTTACTAACTTAATTTTAGTAATATTCCAGCAAATTTTTAAACATTATGTATACTGTTTGACGTTAATAAAACGTGACGTCACAATACACAATCTCGCACGAAATTAATAGAAACTGTCGTTTTTGACAGCGAAAAAAAATGTATTGAATTTGACTAGTTGGCAAGTACGTAATATATGATAATACCTATTATCGTGTCCAGGTCGACTGTTAGGATGCAGCTTATTTCCAGCGGCTATTACTGAGACGATGACAAGTCATCCTACGTGTTATTCAACAAGTTTGAAAAGGTATAAAGGGATCAATAAAGTATAAAAAACCTAAATTAGGAAGATAAGACGAAAGATCATCTTATTTAACTAATATTATAAATACAAAAGTTTATAAGATTGTGTGGTTGTGTGTATATTTGTTACTATATCACGTCAAAACGGCTGAAAAGAACGGGATCAAATTTGGAACGGGGGTAGATCATGGTCTAGAAAAACACATAGGTTACTTGTCCTACGGGATCGCCTTCAGAAGCTAGTAGCTAGAACGATGAGGTCGACTTTTCCTAAATGACTACTCTGAGAAGAAATGCCGAAACAAACTCAGAGGTCTGTCTCTTTTAAAGTCCAGACAAATGTGTATAAAAAGATTATGTGTGAGAACCGTGCAAGTTCTTTCTGTAGTGGCCTTTTGAGGAAAGAACCACAACAGTTTGAGCGGACCCGTTCTATTATAATGTCTATCCAACCATTTGCTACACATCAATATGAGTAGTTTGAGCCCCGAGGTCAGTCTGCCATTTCATCAACAAACAGATAGTAAGTAACCGTATTTGTATGTACTTATTTATATGTATCAGGCCGTTAACCTTATACAGAGCACAATACTTAATATGTGTGGTCAATATGTGTTACTATGTCGAATTGAGATAATTAACAATAGTTTGATCTGAGTTATTTTATTCCTAAAATATAAATGACGTCAACTTTGCTTCTGTTTGGATTTGGAAATAATTTAAAATTCAGGTCATTAGAAATTAATAAAATAGACAAGAAAAAGGCATCTTACTAAAAACAATTTACTTGGACTTACACGTAAAACAAACTACAAAACGTTCACGTTAAAACACAATCGACATCAAATGTTGGTAAATGTGGAACAGTTTTTCTGAAGTCGGGGATAGTACAGCAGAAAGTGTAGCCTTCGCTGCTAGAGTCGGGGTGCCAGCTCAGCCAGGAGAAGTCTCTGTTCTCTCTACACAAGTCTTCACAGAAGAACATCTGATGGGCCTCTTCTGTAGTGACATATGGATTGTTGATACCAACAAACGCTATCCCACACCTACGCTGAGGTTCATACACAACCTTATAGAAAAATAGAGGCACCGGTACAACAGGGTTGTTATTCTCATCAGTAAACAAATATAAATCGATTTTATCTCCACCAGCATTCTGTAAGTGCGATATCCCGAAAGTACCAGTGTAAATAATAGTGTTGTAGCCAGCCACGTGGATATGATTCCTCAGGTCCACTTCCAGAGTATTCCAGTTTCCACCGTTAAAACCCACCCACTGTGGAGCGCAGTTCACGTAATGAAAGGTCGCACGTTCTCCAAACGCAAAAACGAAATCAGTTTTTGCAGCCAAATGCCCTCGAGAAAGAAATTGGGTTTGTGTTATATAGTTATCTATTGCTGACCCCACCAATTTGGCTACAGCCGCCTTTTGACCTCTAGGCGAAAACAGTGTATCAACCGGAATATATCCAAATTGGTCATCTGCGACGAAATACGGCCGGTCTATTTTAGTTTGGTATAAAGCGTTATAAGGTTTCTGTGTGTACTTAGAATAGAGGACGTTAAGAGCAGCTTCGTTGAAACACGACTCGTAGAGAGGGTAGAAATGGGTGTCCACAACGTAGCCGACTTCAATGATGGGGTTGCCGTCATAGCACAAGCGTTCTGTCCGCCTGCTTTTATATTGTGGGGACACGCTGCATTTGAATAGAAAGAATCGAGATGGTTCGCTAAGCCACCCATCGTTTTTGAAAATGTCTCCACCTTCACAGCTAATAGTAGCTACTGATAGTGGTCGCTGTTCGTTAGGATGGTTTATGTTGCCCGTTCCTTCGCAACTTAAAGTGAGAGTGTCGCCGTAGTCCAATTCAATATTACCGAAACTGTCCGTCGGTTCTAGAAGCTTCCCATTTCTCACTATCACCGGTAAAGGCTCTCCAAAATCCTTCCTTGTGTTAAGTCTACATTTTTGTCCATTCTGTAAGTTCAAAGCGCATAATATTAACACGAAAGCTCTTTGTAACATCTTCATTTAGAAATATTTTATAAAACTGTTTGCTGCCAGTGTTAAATTTATTATTTAATGTAATATGGGGCCTGATTATGTACAGCATAATTTGGATTTTAATTTGACATGATAGTGACAATCTAATGTCAATCTAATGAATGGAAGACACAGATTGATAAGCATTTTGATTAAAAAAAGGATGAATAGGCTTTAGGGAAATACCTGCAACCACAATGTTTTTAGAAACATTCGTGTAGAATTTAAGGTTAAAAAGAAGATACCTTTGGAACAAGATTGTGTGGAAGTGGAAAGCAAGGACGTTGAAATTTCTACGTCCTTGACTTAACCAAATATCTTGTAGACTGACCTTCCTGCCAGCGACTGGTGTCACTTGCCAATACTTTAATAGTAAGTTTATAGCAAGATTGCGCATTAATCATCATTGATCATTCATCCTCGCCTCGGCAAACATTATAGATGTATTACAAAAAGGTGCATATCGACCTGTCTCTTTGGGCATTAATATGTATGATATCATGTACCTATCTTATACTTATCTTATATACTATTATATAAAGCTGATGAGTACGTTTTTATAATACCTAACTATCGTGAGACAAACTAAATTTACTAAAAATCGCGGGTTATTCACGTGAATATACTGAGAACAGTAAACTGCGTGACATCGCCCCAACCACCGTGCAAGCTACTCATGAGGAAGAACCCCTCTGTGGTTCGAAACTAGTAGAGCTTTTCTCAGTATATTCACGCGAGTAACCCCCGATTTTTAGTTAATTTACCTGAAGAGTATTTTTTTTACATATTTGACGGGCGTTTGACTACTATCTCGCCTGGTGGTAAGCGATGATGCGGTCTACGATGGAGCACGTCATCCCATAAGCAACCTATTGACTCGGGCCTTGAAGACACCCAGGTTATACTGACTCTCAGCTCTTCAGGAAATACAGACTCTGGCAATGAATTCCACTTTATTTGAACGCGCTAAGCTCCGGAACTACTGGTTCGATTGTAAAATTATATTTGAGTTGGATAATACATTTAATTTTATCGATTTATTATCGATAGTTGGTACATCACGCTACGATCAATAGGAGCCGAACAGAACGGGAACCCTACAGTGAAACGGTGCAGAAGTAGGCAGTGCCCAAATAAAGGCGTTACTTACATAAACATAACATAATATCACGCCTTTTATCCCCGAAGGGGTAGGCAGAGGTGCACCTTACGGCACTTAATGCCACTGTATAATGTAATACCCACTTTTGACTATTTATCTTATGAGTCCCATGTAATAGGGGGTGAGCCTATTGCCATATACCACAATTCCAGATTCCGTGCTACCAGTGAAATTTTTTTTAAAACCCAGTAGTACCTACCTAGTTTGCCCGACCCGGGAATCGAACCCGAGGCCCCTTGCCCGGCAGTCGCACTTGCGACCACTCGGTCAACGAGGCGTTACTTACATAGGTACAAGTACAATATCATATACCGTTGTACATACCTACAAGTTCAAGATCAGTATGAAACTTGACTAAAAGTCAACGACCTCTACCTTACCATCAATCTCAATTATTCAAATTGAGGATAAAAACTATATCTGTTTAATTCTAATGTCGGTATTAGACATTCACAAAAAGTTTACCAAGGTCGTTGACCTCTCTGGCCCGTAATCTTTTCGCGAAATCATATATCATTAGAATTCTTAAAGAGTTGTATATAAATACTAACTGCGCTTCGATATTATTTGTATCTTCTGAACAAATAACAACTTAAAATAGAAATGCAGTTAACTAGTTCTACAAATCAAAATCAAATAAAAATTCTTTATGCTAGGCTGAATGTGAAATCTTTCTCGAGATAAGTACTTAGGGTGTACCTAAGTACTTATCTCGAGAAAAATAAGCTTCCCATTTCCGAAATATTAAATAATCGCAAATTGTAAAAAGATCTGGTCAATTGCCATACACGGTATTTTAAAATACTTTGCTCGATTCCATATTTCAGACTATGGTTGTCGAAAAACTGATAAAAAGCCAAAAATACATTGCCCTACCCGGGAACTAAGATAAAACCGCTTGCTCGACGGTCGCACTTACGACCACATAACCAACAGGATAATCTTATAACATATTTCTGTAATAATAAATAACAAAGGTGATATTTTGTCACTTAGCATAACAACCGCCTTTCATCTCCGAAGGGATAGGCAGAGGTGCACATTACGGTACTTAATGCCACTATACCTACAATACAACAACCGCGTTTCACTATTCATGTTATGAGTCTCATGTAATAGGGGATGAGCCTATTGCCATATACCGGGTACAGTTCCAGGCTCCGTGCTACTACTGAGAATTTTTAAAACAACCTAAGACTTCTTGCCGACGCAAGTGCGACTGCCGAGTCGCACTTAACCTAACCAATAAGATAATCTTACAGTATATTTCTGCTTTTGTAATAATAAATAACGTTGTGGCCCGGAGGTTTAAGAAAATGTCGTTGTGGCCCGGAGGTTTAAGACGCCCACTTCTCATGCATGAGGGTGCGGGTTCCAAACCTACCAACGGCAAGTACCAATGTGACTTTTTCCGAGTTATATGTACTTTCTAAGATTATTTAGACACCACTGACAAACGGTGAAGGAAAAACATCGTGAGGAAACCTGGACTTATAATTTCTAATTATAAGTTTGAAATCGCCAACCCGCATTGAGCAAGCGTGGTGATTAATGCTCTAACCTTCTCCGTGTGAGAAGAGGCTTTGCTCAGCAGTGGGCATTTATAGGCTGTTGATGATGATGATGATGAATAATAAATAACAAACGTGATATTTTGTCACGTTACAAATAATTACAATGTGTTTACTAACTAAGTGCTTCGCATCAATCAATAAACTTGTTTGATTTGCTTGACTCATGCGCATGACAACTGCGCGTACGCCTCGAACGCGTGCGAAGTTGAACAGAGCATTCGAGCCGAGCATGTTGTTGGCACGTGACGTGGTATATGTACGTATGCTAAATAATATGCTCTATGTATACGTACTTCATATTGTTACTATGTCATTGGGGTCAATGATTTAAGTTGGATCAAGTTGCTGTAATTTCTTATTTGGTTTAGCGCCTGATATACCGACTATAGATCTACGCGAGGCATAATGTATGAGTGGACAATTGACATTTCATTAAAAACTTAAAAAAAAATGCAGCCCCACACTAGGATTTTCTCCTGTGTCGTTTACAAACATACAAGTTCACATACACATGACACCCAGACAACAATTTGTGGATCACACAAAGAATTGCTCCGGGCGGGAATCGAACCCTCGACACGTTGCGCGGCAGCCGGTTGCCCAGCCACTGCACTAACCGCGTTGTCAGACAGTCAGTCAGTGATTTATAAAATAAATCACTTTATCACTTAATAAAATTACTTTTAAATAAAATTCATTATGTTTCATGGAAAACGTGTAAAAAAATATCTATATACATAACCTCTTGCCTGTCTCCTACTTATATTACACTTGCTACTTCCGCATGGTTTCACACGCTCTGCGCAGCTTCTATGGGTTGTAACGTGATTTTTTATAGCCTATAGCCATCCTCGATAAATGCGCTATCCAACACAAAAAGAATTATTCAAATCAGACTTGTAGTTATGGAGATTAGCGCGTTTAAACAAACAAACAAAAAAACAAACTCTTCCGCTTTATATAATAGTAAGGGAGTATAAGATATAAGATTTTATAGGTGTGTTGATCTAGGTGAAGTGGTAATATTTGCAAAGTGGCGTGACAGTGTCGTGGTGTGGATGTGGAGAGCTGAACATTTTGCTCAGTTTAGTGCTATTAATGGGGCCTATGTTCAACAGTGAGAAGGGCCTATGCTCAGCAGTTGGCACTTAAATGCTGGCGATGATAATGTCCAACACTGGACGTTAAAAGGATAACGTAGAAAAACAATACTTTTAAAGACTAAACAAATACATTTATTTCCATTTTGTTCACATACATTACCGCCCATTGTATACTATTTTTGTTAGGTAATATTATCCTGTGGTACGAATGTGTGGTGTACAATAAAGCATATATTATTATTATATTTTTTTAAGAAATGTTGCCCTACACGAGTATTTTCTCCTGTGTCGTGGGTGCGTTTACAAACATACAATATCAATACAGCCAGTTGCTCAGCCACCGTGCCAACCGTGCAGTCTAGGTATTCTAGGTAAGTTACAATACAATGCCTGTATAGTTACAATTAAATCTGTACCAGGCATTACGGTCGCATGCATTGTACTATTAAAATAATATTACTAAGCCTATACAATATTATTTTTTACAATCACTAATATTACAAACTATACGTACATACAAATAATTTGGGAAATACTAAAAATACTATCTTGAAATTTATTAAAACACTAAAAGAAAACATAGTAAAACATCACGCCTTTCCACCCCGGAAGGGGTAGGCAGAGGTGCACATTACGGCACTTAATGCCACTGTACAATGTAACACCCACTTTTCACTACTGCTTTTCACACTGTTATGAGACCCATGTAACAGGGGGTGAGCCTATTGCCATATACCAGGCACTATTCCAGACTCCGTGCTACCACTGGGATGTTTAAAACCCAGTAATACTTTGCCCGACCCGGGAATCGAACCCGAGACCCCTTGCCCGGCAGCCGCACTTGCATTTCACTCGGCCAATGAGGCAGACTAAAAGAAAACTAAACTAATAATGTTTGTCACAGTATTTCGCATTGCTTATTTCTAGAGTTTTAATTAAGGTAAAAAGCATAGGTTAGTTGCGAACACAAGTTGATTAGAGAAATGTTTAATAGGTATGAACAATTAGGTAAGCTTCACGTGAAACTATGCTAATCATAGTTTACGAATGATGAGAAAAAGAATCATATCATTTTATCGATAATATATGAATTATAGTATAATACAATTACGTAACAAATTCGTGATCATAACTACATCGTTTGTTAAA